CATAATTTCTAACTTGATGTTTTACTAATGCTTTTAAATACCTGATGCAATACACACCAGTGACTTCGTACCAACCTTTTTTACCTACACATACACATGACATCACCTGAGTCTAAAGGATTGGTAGATGTCAAGAAATGGGCTACATAGTATTTCAATGCATTTACAACTACTACAGATACTCTGTTCTGGTACCTTGTTGTCTTTGAGTATTTAGTGTCATATTACTGTATGATGTCCATTTTGCACTGTAAACCCTGAAAACAAAACACAAAGTTGGTGGTGATTTATTGGTGGTTTCTCTTCCTTAAAAATGTATTGGTCTCTACATCCTTGTCAGTGATTTTCTTTTTTTCTCTCTACTAATTCTATCCTTGGAGCTTGTCTTGGACTGAGCATTGTAGATTTAAGGCATTATAGTCTCATGTATGATTTGCCCTCCAACACCTTACATAACCATATTTCTTCTGGTCACTTGTTGCTTTGAGATCGAAAGCTCATATATAAGTTCGTATAAGAAATAAAGATACAGGAAATGTAACTTGCTGATACACGTTTCTACTTTACATATCACTTGTTTTTAATGTCTACAAAGTGTTATATACTGATTATAATATAGTTACAATTATTTATCATTATTTAGGAAGAAAGGAAAAGTCAAAGACACCAAGAATTTTCAGAACATTGGGGAGTCAGACATCAGTTATCCAAGTGTCACCCAAAGAAATTTGAGACCGCGTCTAATAGCTGTGAAACTGCTAGTAGATGACATGGTTAAGGTAGCTATGCAATGCTTTTCGGTGTTACACATCTTTCTAAAATGTAAATTTTTGAACAGCCAACTCCAGTCATTGCACAAAATCAATAGATGTCAAAGGTAGTAAAATATGCGTTCTTCAGAGCGTTGTAATATTATATTAGCATTCATTTCCGCTGTGAAAAACTGTCTTACTAGTACTAGTGTCGCAAATCTCATTCGCGACGCCTTCGCGGGCCGGTCGCGACAACAACGCTGCCAATGTTTCCTAGGGATTCCCATCCCTAGAAATCGTGCTTAAGTTGACGAATCTGATTATATATTTGAATTATATTAAATTATCAATCACTGTTATACTGATATTACATTAGGAAATAGCAGTATATATACAAGCCCTAAGCGCCACCCATCATACTTTTTCCTTCGTCTACCGACATCGGTTTCGAACGTCACACTTTTGTTTCGAATATGTCACTTTTATTAACTGATATTAATTACATTTAAAAGATGCATGAGTTTACGCCTTCATATTCAATTATACGCACACAAGAAGTAAATTGATTATGTAGAACTTAATAAAAATTAATATATATATACCTTGCCAGGCGGTCTATCATTGGAACAAGGTGAACAAAACTAGAGTGCTCTTTGTCTAAATCAAGGGTTCTCAAAGAGACAGATATCGGTCCCCGGGGGTCGACTGAACGATCCAAGGGTCGATGACTCATCAATGGGTCAAAATGAGTCTGTAAATGGCTATAGAGTCAAGGTCAGGGACTTGAAAAAGGCTGATGTTAAATAAATGGCTGCAAGAAGTAAAATAGGCGAAGTCTACTGGATTCTCACCCACATTTTTTGGCGTCTCTATAGGGTTGTGGAGGTACATTCCTGCCTTTGGGGTTTCCAAAAGGCTCCGCTTACGAAAAGAGTGAAATCGTGCCTGTCCATTGACGTTCACACACACACATTTACTCGTTGACACTCAGTGTAAGTGGGTTTGTAGTCAATGATCTATTAAAATTGTCTAAAAATGTGCAATTATTTTTTACATAAGGAAATACATTTTGAAGCCTGGCTGAACCCAAAGCTGTGGGAGTGTGGATGTAACTGAATCAAAATGGAAGGCTGGGAACAGGTCTGAGTGTAAGTAATAGCTTTAGAGCTTTTTATGTCATATAAGATTATTTGCTTCTTACTAACACTATCCCCACAAAACATCTGTGCTCAGACACGAAAGCGTTATTTTCAACAGGAAAGGAAGGGTGTGTCCGAATAGTTTCTACTCCTATTAGTAAAAAAAATACATGCTTTTCCCTGACAGACTCATTTGTCCTCAATATCTTGTAAAGGCTGTTTCATGAGGTATTCCCTACTATCTGACTGCAACCCTATTAAAAGGAATTTTACATTGCTCTGTCCTTCAGCAAAGGGTTCGTGGGATACTTTTTGCTGTAAAGTGTTGACTTCAACATCTCTTGGTTCCATCACGGTAAGGAAAATTACGTCTGGGTCATTCCAGTTCAATGACCTTGTTCTCCTGCCAGTTTAAGTTCTCAACTCACTCAAACGACTTGCCCTGTTCTTCACTATTATTTTCGGTCAATGTGGTCACCTCCTTTCTTTAACCTGCCTATAAAAATAATTGTTGTTTCGATTTTATTGGTAGAATCCTGCATTGGCTCCCACCGGTCCGAAACGCACTCTGAACCAGTCTGCCCGACCCGGGAAATCTAGTGACCTTGG